AAAACAACATAGATATGGTCAATCAGACACTCAAGCATCGTTTTGATGTCGACTTCAGATTACTAGTGTGTACAATCAGAATTTAACAAAATAATACCGGTATTGCAACTGACCAATGACAAGGTAAGTTTACGAATTCCATTTTTATTGAAGAAGCAGTTGTCCTTTTCCGATCCCAAGTCTTCTGTTTCAAAATGTTCCGTAGAAAACTGTTAAACTTTTGACAATTTGATAGCTATCACTTCTTTCACCAGTAATCTTACTGGACAGAGCTTCTATACCAAAACTTTGGAAAATCTTAACTTTTTCAATCAATCTAGTTATAAATACAAACCAGCAGAGCTAACGAGACTTCTGTTTATATTTTTGAAATAAGTTTTTCATTGGTCATGCACAACTACTATTTTGAAAAATCTCATTTGAAAACTAGATGTATTGCGAGCACTGAGAGCCCGCCTTTCATCTATACTAAATAATTATGAAATTCTCATGATACAATAGATTAATGATGACACATGTATCAGTTTATCTCACGTTTAATTAGTTAACGTATATCTAATAAGTATACAGCAGGATCTATTATAATTCTACTGTCAAAGGAACACTTTAAAATGTTATGCTTAATATGAAAATGTACAAAAATTTTCAACGTAATTGCATTGAATTATTGGTTATCTATTTTCAACGATAAAAGATACTGGAGTGACAGGTGTTCGAAATGTTTTGTCCTTGTAGATTATTTTACTGCATTCCTTTGGTAATATCAGGCGGAAATTGCGCAACAGCTAAAACATAAAGGTTTTACATTATTACTAATCTAAGCTAGTATTCTAGAGAAAATTTCTTATTTGTTATCACATTTTTCTCTGCTTCAATTATCATTTTACTAATTTAATGAGTGTTTTCACCAGGAAAGTTAAATTCATGTAGATTTTTATTGATCGGAGAGAAAATACCATCCAACATTAATTTAAAATAACTTGTCATTGCGTTGACCCTAAGATCCATGCAGAAAATACCTGTGAAAAATCAGTGTTACGTGCTATGTCTACCCGTAATATAAAATATTCGGGGTTTCTTTGGTAAAATCATAGAACGAGGACAGTTTTATCACTGTCTTTCCATCAATTAAATACCATAAAAAGTATGTTGCAACAGAAATTTTCGATGATAAATGTAATTTCAATCATTAAATTTTCATTCCTTTATAAGTTATCAAAATTAATTTCGAACATAATTATGTTCCGTCATTGCATTATTGATCACAGGCAGGATAAGAATCGTATTCAGAACCCATGGACTGAATTTGCAGCATTAAGAATCGGTTAAAGATCAGGGAGTATTATTCAACCAGACCTAATACATTGGCCAAGACATCGATATGCCGAATACTCGTATGTTGAAATTATACTTGAAGATGGGACAGAAATTATAATTAATGTTATTGATTTTTTTCTGACAAATTTAGCAGTCGTTTTTAAAGTTATATCTTAAGCGTATTTCTGGTTGTGTTACACAGAATATTTGGTAAAAAGAGAGATGTAATAATAAAATTACTTTTGCAGTGCAGATATGAATCTCAGTCTCGGCAAAAGTCTGTCCAATACACTTCCGTGGCCCGTACCCAAATGGAATATGAGCAAATGAATGTGTTGGAGAATATCCGTCACTATTGCGTAACCATCTTTCCGGAATGAAAGCTTCAGGCTTATCAAAGTATTGCCTATCCTGACAGGTGATTCCAGAGCAAAACACAATGTTAGTCTGGAAGAAATGGAGAGCGGATTTTTGCATTACTGAAAACCCTACTTTACAAATATTTTTATATCAATTTAATAATGCCGAAAACTTTCCCTTAAATCTTCTTTCGTTTGCATGTTGTACTGCTTCCCACTTCATTCTCACAACGGAATGAAAATGTTAAAGCAAAATAATTGATGTTTGATAACTTTTTCAAACGATTTTAAAACGCTTATAATCCGTATCAAGAGGATATGCAAATAAGAAGCGGTATCATAATTAGAGTCCTAAGTGAAGTAATAAATCACAGGTAATATACATTTATAATAATGAGATCACTAATTTTCGTGGGGGTTTAATTTGCGAGGTTTTCAAGGTATTCATGAAGAGTCCCACGAATTTATGTCCACCACAAAATTTTTAAATTAAATTAAAAGAGATATGTCTATACATAAAATAAAATTTGTACCCTAAACATTTTATCAAATAAAAGTCAATGTTCAAAAATACATGTATGTATTTGGTCAATTTATATGTATGTGGTAATTCAGGAAAACTTACGAAAGCAGGTATTCGGAAGCCTTTTATTGTAATATCCTTATCCAAGTTTCTCGCTGTACCAACCGGAACAGGAAATACCAGTCTACAACAAAAAAAGAGTTTAACGTGAATAGAGCTCGCGTTTTGGATAATAAACAGACACTGTCTTCAGGGATATTATTAGTTTCCCCCGCTTTTGCAAATGCTCGGAGAGGGACGCTATAAATTTTCTTCGGCAGCCTGTCCGTTGTAAGAACTTTCACGTTGGTTCAAACTTTTGAATTAGTATTTTATATTTTAATCCTAATTTAACCCGTGCATTATCCCTGAAAAGAATTGAATATGATTTTTGTACCTTGTCATATGTCTTACTTTTGTAATTGATTCCTTTATTAAAAATCTCAAAGTAAAAAATACTACTAAAAACGAATAACTTATTGGTTACAATTTATGATGTATAAATCTTGAATACTTTGCATCTTCAAAGTAATTTTACCTGAACGACTCTTTTAAGCATGCTTTAAGGTAATTCAGTTGGCAAAGAACGGTTTCATCGATAGGACCTGCTTTAGAAACATGTGTTTCCAACTCTTCAAACAGTTTATCTTGCTTCTCTGGGTTGTTCGCCAAATTGTAAAGCAAAGTTGTCATGTTTGCTGCTGTCTGAAATGAAATATGGAGATAAATAAACAATAATCAAGTTCAGAAGTAAGAGGAAACAATAAAAAATAGGGAGCAGAGCGAACACGGTCCTTTACAAACATCAGAGGTAGGATCGGGTGTCATTGAGGAGTAAGCATCCCCTCTCGACTGGTCACACCCGCCGTGTGTTCCTTGTCATGAACTGAATAACCGAAAAGTCAGTAGACAATTCAGTTTGGATATAAATGTCCAATAAATTGTTTTAAAACGTATTGTAAAGTACAAATTTAATATATAAACGACTGCTTGCCGAATCAATACCACCAACAAAAACATCCATCAGCGTTTTGGTAATATCCTCAGTCGTCATGTTTGGATCGGGTAACAAGTCGCCAAGAAGACTTGGATCAATTTCTTCTCTATTCTCAGACTGAATACGTTCCTTGTGCTCTGTTATGTATTTCTCCGTCTGTCTGAATTAAAATAAGAACTAATCTTACACTGGAACTAAAATATCTATAAAAAAATAAACTGAAAGTGTTATAAATAATTCTTAATATATGCAATTATTTATTTTACATTATCAATTCGAATTACCTTTTAAGATAGTTTGCAGAATTCGCATACTTCCGATAAAACGGCGTTTTGAACAGTTTATACCATGGCATTATGTAAAACTGGTTCCCAAAACAGTCCAGAAATGTTTCTACGTGCTGCATCGTTTCTGTTTTGATCGTTTGATCTGGTGATGAAATACATCCAAGACGCACTCCAAAACACATTTTCCCCACTCCTTTAATAATTGAAAATATGCTGAAATTATATATTTTCGTATTACCATTAAATAAATTTGGACTTTTTGTGTGTTTTCAACATATCAAGAAAAGAGAAATGCATGTTTTCAATGTTTGGGGTTTTAGCTTTTCAGTTATATAAATCCTGGTGATCTAGGGTCAAGATTTTTCGGATGAGATGGCGAATATAATGTCCTTAGTTATGTTCCCCAAACGAAGTTGAGGAACATATTGTTTTTACTCTGTTTCTTATTATTATTATTATTATTAAGGTCTTCCGTCTCCAACGGAAGACCTTATTGTTTTCGTTCGGTTTCTTTTTCCCTATTATTATTATTATTCTTTTTTTTTCTTACCGATTTTGTGCACGCGAGTTCTCGGAAACTGCTTGGTCGATTTTCACGAAACTTTCAGATCTGATAGATATTGATCTGAACCTTATTGGAAATTTTTTATAAGTACGTCGTCACTTCCGGTCGTGAGATATGGACGATTAACTGATTTTTAGAGGGTCACCTTGTTCGGGCAATCACTCAAAAACGAATGAAGATATTGACTTGAGATTTTCAGTGAAGGTAGAGAAAGGATTGCTGAATTGCTTTTTTGAGTCTATATCTTTCCAGCGCAAAAGGATATGAAGCTCACCTGGGCTCGAAAAATAGGCTCGGAAATATCTCGCAAAATTTAACACGTGTTCTCTGATATCTTCTTACCTGTCGATAATTTGTTATAAGATATATAATAATATAAAAGTTGTGCAGAATTAGATTTTCTTTCATTTGATATGAAGAAAAGGGGTGTGACCCCTCAAATAAAGGGCAAAGAGGGGCCAAAAGTCTTTCATCTATAACTTTTCATTTATCAATTTTTTGTTATGAATAACTGAAGCAAAAATGTATATCATGACAATCTGCATCAATGCATTGTAAAAATTTTATATTATGTTATGTAATTAGGGGCCATTAGTGGACAAAATGCTCAATCTTGGAATCTTTATATCTACAAAAGGGGAGATATTTTGATAAGCAGTATTGAATAAAATATTCTCAGAATCGTCTTTTAAACATTATACAACCATTCTATATATGCAAAAACGTCCCATTAAGGATGTAAAGGGCTGGCCCCTAAATTTTTCTATCCTACATAGCTCGAAAACGAAAAGAAATATCTGGATAGCTGTTGAAAAAAAATCTTTAAAATTAAAACCTTTTGCTTGGATAGGAAGAAAGGGCCTGACCCCTCAATAAGGGGCTCTTAGGGGCCAAAAGACTTTCATCCATAACTACATGTATGTGATAATTTTATAAAAAGTAAAGAATTTAATCAAAAAAGAGAAGTCTTGATATCATTATGATCTAAGAAAGATCATCATCAAAATCATATCCTGTCGAAAAATCGGACGGAAGACCTACTCGTTGCTAGCAACGAGATCGCATCTAGTTAAGGTCTTCCGTTTCAGACGGAAGACCTTATAGTGATTCTACTGTTTCTTTTTATGATTATTATTTTATTTTCCCCTTTTGTAATTTCTTTTTTTGACGATATCTCAGAGATGACTGGACAGATTTTTATGAAATTTTCAGGGATGATAGAGAGTAAAAATATCTTTCAAATGTAGTTTACAGTTTTTCAAAATTCACTTCCGGTCGTCAAATATGTCCGATTTCCGTTTTTCAAAAAGTGATCATGTCCGGACGATATCTCAGAAACGATAACAGATTAAGACATAAAACTTTCATGAATAATAGATCATGATAAGTAGATTTGTGCAATCCGTTTAAATTCGTCCTCCGTCACTTCCGGTCGTCACAGGAAGTGATCTAAGAAATCGAAAATTTAAACTTTTTGTTTTATGAAACTTTTTTGCATCACATTATAGTATCTTATTTGTACTTTCGAAATATATCAGTCCCACCGGAAACAAAAACGACAACTTCCGGTTATAAGAGAAAAACTGCATATTTTCAGTATTTTTCTTTCCCATAAATATTTTTTATAGATAAAGTATTTGTAATGATTTTTGGATATGTTATTCAGACTGCAAATGTCTACAGTAACGTCAGATATCTTTGTAAAATTCACTTCCGGTCGCGTGATTTCCTGTCCTCAAAATGAGAACTTATCATAGCTAGATCTCGTAAACGGAAAAAGATTAAGACACCAAACTTATACAATTGGTAGATCTTGATGAGTAGGCAAATTCAGTTTGGAAAAGATTGTCCGCCGTCACTTCCGGTCGTTACAGAAAGTGTTCCAAAAAATCAAAATTTTTAAATTTTCTTTTATAAAACTTTTTTGGCATGACGTTATACTATCTTTTTTGTATTTTTAAAATATATCAGTCCAACTGGAAACAAAAACGTCAACTTCCGGTTTTAAGAGAAAAATTGCATTTTTTTAGTATTTTTCTTTCTTCTAAATATTTCTTATACATGACATATTTGTAATGATTTTTGGATATGTTATTCAGATTGCAAATGTCTACAGTAATGTCTAAAATCTCAGGAAAATTCACTTCCGGTTGCGTGATTTTCTGTCCTCAAATTGTGAAGTTATCATAGCTAGATCTCGTAAACGATAAGAGATTAAGACACCAAACTGTTTCAAGTGGTAGATCTTGATGATTAGGCAAAACCAGTTGGGATAACATTGTCCGCCGTCACTTCCGGTTGTCACGGGAAGTCATCAAAGAAATCGAAAAATTCAACTTTTCTTTATAGAAACTTTTTGCATCACATTATAGCATCTTATTTGTAGTTTTGAAATATGATAGTATCACCGGAAACAAAATCGACAACTTCCGGTTAAAAGAGAAAAACTACATAATTTGAATATTTCTCTTTCCCATAAATACTTGTTATAGTTAAAGTATTTGTAATAATTTTTGGATATGTTATTCAGACTGCAAATGTCTACAGTAATGTCTAATATCTCAGTAAAATTCACTTCCTGTCACGAGACTTCCTGTCCTCAAAATCAGAAGTTATCATTACTAGATCTCGTTAACGGTAAGAGATTAAGACACTAAACTACTAGGGGTGGTAGACCTTGATGAGTAGACAAATCCTTTGAGTTTAAGATCATCCACCGTCACTTCCTGTCGTCACAGGAAGTGATCAAAGAAATCAAAATTTTAAACTTTTCTTTATGGAATCTTTCTTAGAATTACCTTAATAGCTTTTTACTAGTAGTTTCGAAATATGTCAGTCCCATTGGAAACAAAAACGACGACTTCTGGTTATGAGAGAAAAACTGCATAAATTGAGTTTCTTACTCTCCCATAAATATCTTTTATAAAAAGAGTATTTGAAATGATTTTGGGACATACCTTCTTACAGATAAATAGAGGAGAACGGAAGACCTTCTTTGTTGATGAAGCAACAAGAGTTTCTAGTATTCTTACTATTTTCGTATTGACCAACTTCTGGAAATGACCTTTGTCCGGTCCATTTCTCCCGAACAGCTTAAGATATGAAAGTTTACTGTGTCGGATATCATAGATCATGACTTGAAGATGTGTCGAATAACATTTTGTCCGTCGTCAATTCTTCCGGTCGTCGCGAAAAAGGGAATTAAAAGTCGATTTTTTAAATTTCTTTGTCTTTCTTTCTATCTTTTTCTGTGATATTCATGGCATAAGTAAAGGCCCCTATTTGCTGATTTAACGTACAACCAGTTTCTTGATCTGATAAAGAAGAAATTAAATATCTTTGAATGTCTTAGAACTTTCGCAAGCGTAGGTTCAACGTTTTCTTAAACACTAAAAAATATTCATTTCATTTTCTCATAAATAGGCTGCGCGGGTAATACACATGGTGCCATTGTGCAGGTAAGGTCTTCCCCGTGTGATGGGGAACGGACCTGTAGAAAACCTTCTCTGGTTCCGCAGAGTCGAGTTTTTAGCAAATAAAATGTATGAAACATATGTCATGTGTGTGTGCATCTTATACCCCGCCCCCATTTTTTTTTTTTTGTGAAAACTGTAAGAAACCTAGCCCCCACCTTTCTCATTTATTGAAATGGATGCTCATTCCGCTTTAATGTTTTACATTCTACATAAAATGACCATGACATTTATATAACAAGGCACTCTTCTTAAAGTTAAGAAAATGATAAGGCTTAATTCTATCTACAAAATAATGGTAATTTACAAGTCTATATTCAAGACAGGCCCCCCCCCCCCCTTGGAAGCGCGCAGCCAGGTAGAATTCGCAGATATAACATATACAACTTACAAGTAACTTTTCAAAAGTTTCATTCATAAAAATATTTAGTTCCCCTTATGTCATCTGATAATTTGCAATCATTCATTCTTCCTATGTTTTGTCTGTAGAATTTATAATTATTTCATTTAAAAAAAATTATCTTGAGAAAATAAAGATTGTCAGCTGCATTTATTAGCATCTCGCATTTTCTTGTATATCTTTTACTTGCATATGAATAATGTCATTAAATAAAATAAAAGAAATCAAACTCTATTTCCATCTTTTTTAATTAATTCATAAATCCTTGGATCCGCTCGCAGCTGCGCGGTGGCCTCATCGCTACTGTAAACAATTCATTCATCACGCCGAAAATGTTCATGATTCCGCTAAACTAAGAAAGTTTACACAGGGTTTATCATCTCATATCAAGCATCAGACCTGTCCAATGCAGGAATGCTCGAGTTAAAGAGGAAAATTCAGGAATTATTTTGCGTCCGCCATATTTTGACATGAACCTAGGCGACAATTTGTAATTAAGGTCTTCCGTCTTCACGGAAGACCTTATAGTGATTCTATTGTTTCTTATTATTAAGGTCTTCCGTCTTCACGGAAGACCTTATAGTGATTCTATTGTTTCTTATTATTATTATTATTATTATTATTATTTTTCCGTACACCAAATTTTGTGCACGCGATTTCTCGAAGACTACTGGTGGATTTTCATGAAATTTACAGAAATTATGTGTTATTATCTGAAGTTATTTTTTCCGAGAGATTTTTTGAAAATTCGCTTC